TCTTGCCTTGAAAACAATTCTATCTCGCCACCTAGTGGTTCACAATGCTAAAAGAGCTAGAACTTGTGGATGCCAGACAGCCTTAGGATTTCCTGGCTATACTACACACCCTGACATACGATAATTAATAGTATGGTATAGTGATTTGAGTGACGTACTAGGTATAAATGAGTGACGTGGGGTATAAATGAAGCAAATAAATCTGGTACTATTTTTTCCCCCTAAGCAAGACTCAAAGTGACTTACAAAACAAAAATACAGTATCCTGGGTTGATACCGGTTCCGCTAGCATAGTTCAGACAGGGACTCAGACCTTGGCCGCTTGCCCATTGACTGGCATCAAAGGCTCTCACCTCTGACCATACCCCTTTTAAAAATCATGCAGAAAGCAGAGTGAGAAGCTTGGCCCCAAGTCTTATAAAACTGGCTTAGCTTGTTTGCCAGTGTGGTGTAGTAGTTAGGAGTACAGGCTCTAATCTGGGAGAACCAGGTTTGATTCCCCACTCCTCCACATGCAGCTGCTGGTGTGATCTTGGGTCAGTCACAAGTTCTTTCAGAGCTGTTCTCTCAAGGGCAGTCCTCGAAAGAGCTCTCTCGGCCCCACCTACCTCACAGAGTGTCTGTTGTGGGGAGGGGAAGGGAAAGGAGATTGTAAGCCGCTCTGAGACTCCTTTGGGTAGTGAAGGTTGAGGTATAACACCAATCTCCTCTTCTGTCTTCTCTCTCTAAGTATCAAAGCCAGAGTCTGAGGCTTTCTAAGGATAGGTAGAACCCTATTGGCTATTTGTGTCACCTGACTGTTTGCTGAGTCAGTATCTCCATGTAGCCTGCAGTTGCCAACCTCCAGGTTGGACCTGGAGTTCTTCCAGAATTATGACAGATCGACTAACCACAGAGATCCATTCCTTGGACAAAATGGCAGCTTCAGAAGGAGGGGCACTCTGGCACCACATCTCTCCTGAGTTCCTCTCCCAGGATCTGTCCCCAAATCTCCCAGAATTTCCTCACCTGGAGATGGCCACAGTGATTTAGCCATCTGATGACAGCGGTGTCCAAGTACGGTAGATAAGGCTAGCAAAATCCCTGTTTTGGCAAGCTGCTAAATAGTGCAGCAAACAGAGTTTAGCCAAAATTTTTGATCTGAGCCTCCTAGAATTTCATAATCTGGCTTTTGACCTGAAAACTCTGCTTCCTGATTCTCGGCACGTAGAGGCTGCCTATCGTTATTCATTGTGTGATCAGGGCTATTTTTGGGCAGGA